GTTCCGGAGTAGGTACCCTCCTTGATGTCGCCATCGCCAAGCTTTGGGTCCTTCTCGGGATGTTGAGGGTCAGGCTTGGCGTAGAGCTTCAGTTTGATGAGTTCGCTGTTGAAGATGCCAGGATCAAAGTCAGAGAATATGACATCCTTGATTCCGATGGTAAGCTCTTTCTCTCTGTCCTCCAGCGATGGCTGCTGGAGGATCGATTCAGGCGTTGGGACTTTCGGGGCATGGGATGGCCGCAAGGGCAACCGGTCTGAAAGAATACCCATTGTAACAACGGATTCAAGTTGGCGATAATATGTGACTGCTTTCTCAAGTATACTATGAGTTTCGCCAAGTGTGCAATCTTGCGAGTCGCATCGATGGAAGGACTGGTCCAGGCCCAGCTATTTATGTTACAATGAATGCCTCGTATCATTACTCCCAACTCTTCCATACTACCGTAAGAGGCTGAAAACCCTTCATCCGCAATGGCACAGTCAATCTCTAGTTCTACGGCGACCATTCACCGGTCTCAGCTCCTGTCAGCTCACAGCCAGCCTTGGCAAGCAGAATGGCCGAGGAGCTTCTGCTATTGGACAGCTCACTGCCCGCCTAATGGCAGTTCATGTCTGCTTTCCGAGCCAGCTGAACTAACAACTGCAAAAAATGATCATCAGGACTGCAGAAGTCCGAAACAAAGTGCATTCCTCCCCACCCACACGAGCCAAAGGTTGTTCAGCAGGGCAACCACAGCCCAGTGACGGGCAAAAGGCGGAAGCTGTAGGGCATCCGAAGACCCTTGATGCTCCAATCGCAAGCCCCTGCTGGCCCGGTCAGCCCTGTAAGCAACAGACCAACAGCCGACCAACGCGGCCTGTCCGAAGGCAGGCAAAGGAGAAAGAATGCTCGCTACATAGGTCGGCGATTATGGCATGCAGGTGCGAGCACCAATTGGCGCGACTGAGACGCCATAAGCTGACATTCTCACGACCAGTTGCAACCATATCCAGGGGTCGTTACAGCCGCACCGCCAATTGATTGAGTATGTGCCCTGACCATCCAATCAGATACAAATCTGACAAAGATTCTTGTCTCTTGCTCGGCTTAATTCCAAAGAACTACTCGTTGCCGTACTATGACGACACGTAAACTGTCCTGCGGAAAGCTGATGTATTCTTAAGATTTTCACTGGCAGCACAATGTCATAGGGGAGCAGCACAGAGGCGCAAAATTCAATTACCGTGCCCGTGACAAGGCTTTGCTGACTTGGTCCCAGGACCAACGCCGACGTTCACTAAAGACCTCCCTAAGCATTGCATGTATCACCTACAGTTCGTGATCCGACTGCGGCAGATGGCGCTCCTTGCAAATCACGGATGAGCCCAAGGGTCGGCGATACACGCCCTTTTATAGATGGGTGATAAATTATGAAAGGAAGATAGCCCTCCGCCAGCCGAACCCCCACTGCTTGTTTGATGAAGAAATATAATGGGAAACGAAGATCACCAGCCAATCCCTTCAAACCTGCCAAGCGACAGCTGATCCTTGACAGATTTGTTTGGGGTCAAACTGACCATCTCCACCCATTAAATTGCATGGAATTTTTTTTTGCCAGTCGGAGAGCGACGATCGCGCCCGAGGGCCAAGGCTCAAGATAAGGGTTTACTTTTGTCGGCAAGCGGGGCAAACAGCCGATGATAAAGTACGTAGAAAGCCAACGGCGTGATGCGGTGATAAACGGGGGAACTTGGCGTTTGGCCTAACCATGCAATCAACAAGGCCGCCTGGTAAATTGGCAGATCACGATACCACGTCGGACAATGACGCAGTCGGCGGCACTTTTGAGCTCATCTGGCTGCCCGTCTCCTCCTTTCTCCCTGGGGAGAGTGCCACTGTATCCAGACGAGCTGAGTGGCATACCTCCGGCCTAGGACTCCAATTGTGCGCGCCAACAGCCCCCTTATTTTTCCCTTTGCTTAGGCTTGCTACGGGAGGGGCCATGACGGGATTGGAGCTGTGATAGGGGCTCGGTAGGTGGGGGTTGTCGACTTGATTGGTCTCAATAATCATGCCCCTGAAATTAGCTGCCAGCTATTGTCAATACCTCCCGCCACATCCATTTCTTGGCACTCATCCTTCTCCGGTGCTCACTCGAGACTGCCGTCGGAGCTGAGAGTGAAGAGGGCGGGAGAGCGGGCATGGATTCTGTCGATATGTCTCACGAGGCTCATCGTCATGGGCGGATTCAGTTGCCAAGCGAGGAACGAACTCATCCCTCCCCTCCTCCTCGCAATCAGCCTTAGGCTAAGGCGTTTTACGAATCACAGATGATAGCGCTAACTCGGCTGTGCTCCACCAAGGGCGGTGCTTGGCAATTGTCAATCTCAGCACAGCAGCCGGGAACAGTCTGTCAGCAATCCGCCAACACTACCCTGAGGGTTTCTTCCACGACCCCTCGGCTCGCTAAGAAAATTGGCTCTGATGGCAGATTCTCCCTCGTCACCCATGTCCTCATTTCCAGTGATTCCTCGCTGCTAGTTCAAGATTGCCCTGAAGCTACGACCACTCGTCCCGCAATCAACACATCCACACACCGCGGTCACGCTCGGTCTGCACCTTCAATTCCAGACCGCCCCGCCTGAAGATTGAGAGCTAGTTAAATCTGTAGCGGCTGGCAGCTAGAGCCGATTTGGAGGCCATGGCAGATAGTGCTTTTGCCTGTGGTGAGCCAGTGATCAGCTTGGCTACCCCTGTAGTTCATTAATTGTTGGTATCTTCACGATCCAGCGGCTAAGAGAGCCCGCTGAATGAATGGGTTACCTCCCGTTCCCTTTGGACAAGGCACATTGCAGGCTTCAGACGGATCCATTCGCCTGGTCAGGGGTCCAGGTCCAGAGGAAGATATACCCACCAGGGTCCCCATCTTCCTCTCCCACGAGCTCTCGTGAAAGTCTTTCTTTATCTTTCATGGTCATCTTTCTGAGCGCATTTCTCGCGCCTGCCACTCTTTTCAACACCTAGCCATGGGCGTCTCAATCCGGCGCCGCCTCACGGGCGGGAGGAGGTCGTTTTCGCGAAGCCGATTTGTCGTTCCGATTGCTGTGATTCTCGCGACTGCTTTGATGTTTTATTCCTCCAATCTCTACCGCATGTCTCTTCTTCGCTATGATGATGTGCGCCTGGAGTAAGCTTAGTCCCTTTGCGTGAACAACACAACATTGGGGGGGAAGACTAATCCTGGATCCAGCTCAATATGGGATTCCATCACATCGACGACATCACCGTCGCCATCACCACCACCAAAGCCGCCAAAGCTGGAGGTTCCGGTTTCAGATCCCACCAACTTCCTCAAGAAGGTCCAGGCCAAATTCAACTCCACCATCCACAGCGTGCACGCCGACACGTTCGTGACCGTTGAGGGGTACAACTACACGATCCGGAATGGCTCCAACCGCTGGACCGAACCTCTGGGTCAGCGTCTGCTGATTCTCGATGCCGATTCCCGAGTGAGTGAGAAGGAGATTGACTCCATGCTCACGCCTTCACCTCTCAACGATGACATCATGTCTGGACGAACAGCTGGAATGCTGAACCACTTCCTCTATGGTATGTTCCCGAAATCATGCATCTCTTGAACGTAGTCGGCTAACGTGTACAGCTCTCATCCACGGCTATGACTATCGCCTGGTCAAGTCGCCGCCCATGACTGACCGACACGGGACTTGGTCCAAGGTCTCGCTCATCAAAGAAGCCCTCAAGACGCACGACTATGTCGTCTTCCTGGATGCCGACGCCACCTTCCAGTACTACCGCCTGCCCTACGAGTGGCTTCTGAGCATGTGGGGTTTTGGAAATGAAAGTCTCGTCGCCATGCCCGAGGACCCCAACTCGCCCGTCAACCAGGATTCCAAGGGCCGGGTTCTCTGGAATACCGGCTTCGTCACGGCGCAGCAGAGCGAGCGCACCCAAGAGATGTTTGAGCGCTGGGAGAGCTGTCCACTGGGCGAGCGATACCCCGAGTGCAAGCATTGGGGATACGACTGGTCTCATGAGCAGGCGGCCTTCGGCAATTTCGTGAGATACGAGTATGAGGTCGGCAAGGGCAAGGATCTGGTGCCTATCCCCTGCATGGACGGCAACGGTGCCAACTACATTGTGGACAAGAAGTGCGGAGGCGTCTTCGTGGCCCATCACTGGTTCTACAAGGACTTTCCCACCCGAGAGCTGTATGAGAAGCTCGACGACTCCTTCGTGGTTGATATGCAGAACTACTTCCACCTCAACCAGAAGAAGTACTATGTCGATGCTTCAGAGTACACGTATCCGCTCAACGATCTCAAAATCTAGCCTGGGGATATGCCGAGCGATGGGGATTGATGCGTTTTTTTTTTTGGCGTTTGCAGTTTGCTTCCTTTTTTCTCAGTTCGCATTTTGATGCCATGGCCAACAGAAACGTCACGGAGGGGAGTTTGAGGTGTCCAGACAACTGATTTCTCATGTATATATTATTTTTACGCCTGGGTTCGACACCCGCAGAACATGCAACGAACAGGCAGATGACATTACGACTGCAATTACGCAATAATCTTCCATAGACAGGGAATGATGAATTCACACGTATCTTGTCAAACACCAGTTGCCGAGCAAAGATGGTGTTTTACTCATTTAATCGCCAATTTGACTGACCATAAACAGGGCGCCAACTCTAGATTAACAGCGATATCCCACAAGTTCTCACTCGGTTGTTATGAGAATAATTATGTAGCAATGTTCCCGGCGGCGGCAATTCTCGACTGCTACTGAATCATTACGTTCCACCCGATTGGCTCATTTAACCGTCCGCGCATACCAACGAGTATCCCTACAGTTACATCATCCTGCCCGTCAGCACCACAATCTCTCGCTCCGACCTCAGCCGAATGGTCGTACATACACGGATCAGCTGGATCACCGGGCAGATCGGGGGAAACACACCCTTCTGAGAGCGCGGCAAGGCGTGCCGCAGTCCCTGGCCAATGCGTCGCAGAATTCTTCTTCCCCAGAGCGCGGCTCGACCCCTCATCTGGGGCAGCAGATCCCTGTCCGTGACCTCTCGCGCTTCAGTCGCGTCGATTCTGTCCTCGAAGCAGCCCGTCCAGGACCCCAATGCGCCCGTGGAGGAGGAGAGGTATCAATTCTATGACCCCAAGATCTTCTACCCAGCCCGCATTGGCGAGAAGCTCGGTGGGAAGTACCGATTGGTCTCCAAGCTCGGCTGGGGAACTACTTCGACCGTTTGGCTGGCGAAGGAAACGAAGCGGTATGTCAATTCATTCTGAGCATGGCGGCAATCTTCCCTCCCATCAATTAACATCGCATATTTTGCCTTCAAAGAGGTTGGTTTTTTCAATCACATCAATACGTCGCATTGAAAATCGCCAATTCATCCGACATTGCACGGGAGAATGCCAACCAGGAGATTGAGGTTTCTACGCACGTCCTTACGGCATCAACATCTCACCCCGGCCACCAACTTATCCGCCCAGTCATCGATTCGTTCGAGATCCAAGGCACCAACAAGGCCAAACATCTCTGCTTGGTATTCGAGGCCCTTCGCCAGCCGCTCTCCTCTGTCGGCAGGCAGCTGGGCCACAATGGGCGCCTACCTCCTCGTGTGCTGAGGACAATCGTGCCCAGCATTCTCAAATCTTTGGATTTTCTGCATACGGAATGCCGAACTGTTCATACAGGTATTCTCAATCCTCACTGTCCCCAAGATCCCGTTTTCTTTCTGACTACCTTGGATTGCGCAGACTTGAAAGGCGACCACTTCATGATTCCATTTGAGGATCCCTCAATCCTAGACGAATATCTCCGGCAACAAAAAAAGACACCCCCAATGCTGAAAGAGAGCCAGGGTCGCCCCATTTACGAGTCTCGTCGCGAATTCGGGCGGTTGAAGAGAGGCATCCAGATCGCCAAGCTTACAGACTTTGGATTGGCAGTGTGTGATCAAAAGGCGGGAACTCTCCATTTCCACAGCATCCAGCCTCTCGAATACACCGCCCCCGAAGTTTTGTTCAAGACGGGGTGGACTTACTCGGCCGATATTTGGAATCTCGGACTGGTAGTAAGTTTTGTCTTCATGAAAAGGCATCAAATGGCACTACTGACGTCTTGAAGTTGTGGGAATTGGTTTCTAATACCAGTCTTCTGGATGGTCGTGCGATCGGACAACCCGAATTCTCCCACTTTACCCGCTATGCTCAGATGATCCGTCTACTTGGGCCGCCGCCTGCTCAATTACTAGACAGAGTCGATAAAGAGACCTACAGTCGCTTCTACGATGAAAGAGGTAAGTTATCTGAGGTAATCGATGCGTCGGGTGTCGAGCTGACTGTTTCTCAGGGTCTTTTAGGTATCCCGAATTGGTTCCGGGGGAGAGCTTCGACTTACGCAAACTCACCCCAATAGTAAATGAAAGTGATAAAGCCAAGTTCATCAGCTTTGTACGTCGGATGCTAGCCTGGCTGCCGGAGGACAGACCGACAGCTGGAGAACTGCTCAGTGATCCTTGGTTGGAAGAGGAGGCAGATCCAATCTTGAACCTTTGATAGACGGTCTGGGAAAGGGTTTCCAAGTTTCACTCTCAGTGGAAGAATCCACAAGCATTAAAATGATCCTCTTATGGTCTCATGTAGTAATATATGATAGATGCCCATCAACAGGAACTCTTCCAGTTACAGCTTTACAAACATGTGACAAAAACTCCGATATCATCGCCCTGTCCTTGTTAAATCGTAACAAGTAGCTGTCAACGTGGTCCACAAAATCAATCACCTTCTCCTTCTCTTCACCAACGGCGCCCTCGAATGTTACAGAAACCGGCCCAAGGATTGCTAAACCGGTTACAGGCTTCAGCGTGCGGATGTATGGGATAACCATCCAAATCTGGCAACAGACGTCTCGGTACTCCGTGTACAACGCTTCGTCAGGGACCTCGTCGTACAGGACGCTGAGCTCATACAACGACCGGAGAACGATGACTTGGACAGAATGCAGTATGCAAAACATCGCCGCAACCGAGGCGTGCGAGAATGAGTAGCTCTTGTGCATGAACGCAACCGACTCGCTAGGATCCATCTTGACAACCATGGTCTCACGCGCCAGCAGCGCTTTGGTGGTAACTCCAATCGTGCGGCGCAGAAGTCCAGAATGTTCCAGCATCTCACTGATTACGTCGGCGGACAGGCCTTTCATCTCCTCGGTGTACGGGCCTTCGGCGCGGATGCGAACAATGGAGTCGACCCAATCCTGCATTCTCGGTGTCCGAAGCTCGATCTTGAAACAATCCTCGGTACCAAAGGGCTCCAGCTCGTCAACGAGCCAATCTTCTGTTCCAAGCCGGTACATGGCCTCTTTCCAGGGAGACTCGTTCAAGAAGTCCACTTCGGGGCCCCCGGCCATCCTATTCCGTATCTAGATTTGGATGTCAGCCGAAAACTTGCTTTAGAAATACGGGTGAATTCCAATTGACGAACCAGGAGAGACCGATTTTCCTTGACCAAAGCTGCCTCAAACGAGTCATCTTTTTCCGGCGGTCCCATCTCAATCATCATATGCTTGATGGCCACGGCATGCACTCCCCAGCTGGGGTCGGCTTCTCTGCTCAGTAACGGCTGCGTCTTCTGCAACAGCGTTATGGCAGTCAGCGTGTCGATCATCTGGGCCCTGTCTACCCGTCCTTTGGGCAGTTTCTGGAGGGCATTCTGTAAGCCCCGAAGCGCTTTGTCGTAGCGCCGGGACGTGACCTGGCTCGGCGGCTGTTGGTGGCAGTGATCCGTCCAGACAGAGCAAAACAGAGAGATCATGTCCACCACAACGGGGCTACTCTGAGACAAGCGCCGGGGGATGTAGCGGATGGGGCTCTTTTGAAGAAAAGTGCACCCCTCTGGGCCATACTCTAGCAAGGTGGCCAGACAAGACGACAGGTGGTCGACGGGAGCGACTGGCGGTGTCCGAGGCGGTGGGTTGACCATGACGAATCTCTTGATCACACTCCTTTTCACTCTCTGCTCGGGCTTGGCAGTGATGGACGAGAGCTCCTGCTCGAGGGTGCCAATCTGCCTTGCTGACTCAGGACCATTGTGGTTGACGAACCTGAGCCCCGTTGCCGTTGGGCCTGGGCAGGGGGTTTTCGATCGCCTGCATTGTGAACATGTCGGCCATTTCTCGTCACACTGGCAGTAATACCGTTGTTATTTCATATTTCAAAGACTTCCAGGTGCTGAATATATAACCTACCTTCACTCTCCGGCGTTTGCAGTTTTGACATGCCTTTGTTCTGGGAATGCCAACCATTGCAAGTCGATGGTCTCCGGATATGCATGTCTGTATGCGGTGGGAGTGGGGGAACGGCGTAGCACGTCTGGGATCAAAACGGCGTCAGGCTTGTCAGCCGTTTATTAAGCAATGCACAGTGCCGAATGCACAGGATAACTCCGAAACGTGCACTGTAGCTTGGTCGTCATCCTCGTGCCAAACTTGCTGGGGTTATAACCTTGCTTGGACAGGGGTGGTTATCCTACACTTGGATATGCTATTCAACGGATGTTAATTGAGTTGTTCCACGAGCCTCCCCAAGTTAATTGTAAGTTCCTTCGAGCATCAATATCCTGTCTGCAAAGTTAAGGTCTCAACTCCTAATTCAAAACAAAATTCAAGATGGGCGTGGATGTCAGCCTGCCAAGACTCAAGATTTGGTCTAACCTTTTATGCCACTCTCTCGGCTCTCGCTGTTAATAATCAGAGGTGGTGATAAACCTTGGTTTCACTTCTCATTCATAGATCCAACTTAAATAGAATAGAATTGCCATAGCTTAAGAGGTTTAAAACTCCATGACGTGATGCGTTTGCTTTTCAACCTAGGTTCTCGCGTCTGTTGCGACCCCTGGACGCAAGTTGTGGTGCTAAAATCTGATGTGAGGAATACGTCTTGACTGGCATCGGAAACTTAGTGCAAAGTATTGTCCCATCGGAGTTTTCCTCTTGAGAACAGACAAACTCCCTGCGGGCGTGACTGCAGTCAAAACATGTGGCAGTGAGGTTGCATGGCGTTATGACCATAATCCGGCGGCTTGTAATGCGAATGCCGCAGGCCATTGATGGAAATACATACAAGTAAAATAGGATAGATGATATTAATTTGATGTATCATGAGATGTTCTTCTTAGTAGCACATCCAATCCGCTCATCAATGGAGTGCGAGACTTTCAGTGAGAGTGTAATAGCCGTATAGGGTAGGTATTTTACGACTGACAAATGGTTGAACTGCGTCAGGACATTGCCGTCTGATCAACGCATTGAAATCTACAAATTAAATAACTTCCACCTCCATAAGAGCGGAATCTGGTTTCTGGATAGACGAGGGTTAGATGGAGGCGGGTAACTCTAAAATAGGAGGAGAAGGAAACATTGGAGATTATCAAGCGACACATTTCGGGCGGAAAATTAGGGATAGCGAATGCAGCGTTTATTTGCTCTAAAACATAAACTATTTATATCCGGTTGAAGAATGAATGTAAAGATAAGCGAATGAGGGCGAATTTGTTCGCCTAAAATCTTACGATGCTCAATGGCGTTGGCCGGTCCCGTGGCTGAGCAAATGTAAGCTTCAACTTGCTCTCGCCACCAGACACTGGAATCTACTCGGACTCCTCGGCGTGGACCTTCTTGTGCTTTCTTCGCAGCTTGCGCGACTTGCTCTTGTGAGGCCTCTTCCTGTGCTTCCTGCCCTTTGAGTGAGACCTTTTCGGCGCACGGGTTTCGAGCTCAGCTTCGTCGAGATCTCTGACGAATTGAGCAATCGCCTCGTCATCAAAATCGCGACGGAAGTTCTTGCCCACATTCTTGGGGGGCTTCTTCTGAAGCTTGTTGCGGGGCTTTGTTGCCTTGGGAGCCTTGGCGGCTGGAGGCTTCTTTTGCAGTTTGTTGTGTACTTTGGCGGGGCGGCGGTCAATGGACTTTGCGAGGGGAGGGCCCCCTTTGATTTTGTTCATGACTTTGGCGACGCCAGTTCGTAGACCGCGGCTTTCCAGGTCAAGGGCATCCTCAGAGAGAGCACGCTCCCAGATGTCGTTGGCGATGTCAATGGAGCGGGTGTCATAGTGTGACTGGGCAGCGGCTGTGCCAAGCAAGCCGGCAACGAAGAGAAGGTTGGAGGAATGCATTTCGAATGACGACTGAAAGGTGTTTGAAGTCAAGTTCTGCCAGCAGAATCTATATGGAAGTGAAACCCAGAAGATGTGAAAAGTAAGGAGATTGAGGTAGAAGAATAAGAGATGGAGTGTGGTTGATGATGAGAGCCATAGTCAATGAAGCAGAGCCAACTTATATATGTTTTTCTCTGCACATCTCTTGAGAGAGCCTGTTATTTTTGGTTACTAGATATCCCACGGCCCCCAAACTACATAGCTGCTCATCTGATGCCTGCCGCTTTCTCTAGGGGCATCTGCAGCATAAGATTCGCAGGGACAGTAAGAGCTTTCGCGCTTTTGGGCCTATTCTATTGTAGATCATTGATACCATTTCCTAGCCAAGGAGTGAGGGGGCATGGATATTAAGCTCTTGCGGTCATAGATTCTTTATTTGGGACCTTTGACGTGTTCTTTGCTTACCATCGCCCCATCAATGCAGCCAATCTGACTGCACACAGCCAGTGATATTGCGGTGCTCCACCCGGCAAAGCACATGGCTGCAGGCGAAGCCCCCAAGCGCGTATAGCACCATCGTAAGCGATAAGAAATGGAATAAGCTTATGAGATGGTGGGTGCCCCACGCTTCGGAAGTCATGGACACTTCCCTGGCTCCGCCTCAATTGCAATCGAATCTTTCCGATTATGATGCCATTTTTATCTTGCTCCCCGAGCATACATACATGCCTTGGAGGGGTGGATGGTGTTGTGTGGGCGGGTTTCAAGGGGATACAAAGGATGGTTTTTTCAAGGCTGCTTTGCATATGTTTTCTTTTCTTCTACTTTCCATTCATTACTTCAACACACACAAAGCTAGCCTCGGTGATTCTCTTGCTTCCTCCAGTGTAAGGAAAGGTCATGGTATTTTCCCCCAATCTCTCCACTATGGCTCTACCGTCTCGTGTATAAACATTAGCCACAGAGTGTACTTGTGTATTAAACAGAAAGCTGTGTGATGAAAAGATGGCTTTCGGCTATCTATTTCAACGGCTGCCTACAGAACCTGACGACAAAGTCCCTTGACCCAAGTATAAGTCAACCACAGCTTGCAGCCTTGACTTGCTTCACTTATCAAAATCCCTTTCGGTACTCCTTACCTTGCTGGCAATCTTAAATAAACTCCTATCGTGGCCCCAAAAGTGAGAAGCTATTGCCAATGACGCGCGATGGGACTTAAAGCGGATTTGTGGTGATATTGGTTTGGAACTAACGAAGTAAGAAGACGGTGTGGGATGGACGGTTTGGCTCAAGGACAAGATGTACTATAGCTCCTTTTGTGATAATTCAAGCCACATATGCAGTTTAATCTTGAGACTTCACTTGCTTATGGTGGAAAGAAAACTGAATACTCTGGTTAGCCATGTTTCTCTATACAAGATACTGAGCTCTACTGTTAGGAAGCTCACAGTCTCTCAAGGCAGATGATGGAGGCCGGGCGGGTAGGAGCCGTATTAGAATTTTTTTTATTGAGTCCGATAAGCCTAGATAATACCCAAGCATCTACCATTGCTGAACCAAGTATCTTTGTCTATTGTTGACCGGCATAAAATCTCTAGGTAGGGATTGCCCGACGTTAACGACCAATTAAGGGCAGGGTAAGGTGAGACATGAAAGAGCCTATGGGATTCTAAGAGATTGTTTGAAAGGTGATATTTTGATTTGATTTGCTTAATTTGGTGGTTGTCTACTTATTGGGAATGGAAATATCCCAGGACTGATCCAAGTCTGGCTATGTATTGATTTTTGAGCTGATTTTTTAAATTTCCAGGCTAAAAGTAGATTCTATAATGATCAGTTTTATTACTAAGATAATTCATAATTCAGGGCCTAAAGTGAATGAGAGACTGAACTTTCGCTTGTTATGTTCATGCCAGTTTGCCTCCGTGCCTTGCTTGGCTGGAACTGTCCCATCATGCCGATTCTATAGTCTCAGCTGTTTAGTGAGATTACCTGACAACAACTGGAGTCGCCGCCCACTCTGTTCCGGTCGGACCCATCCTTCGCGCCCAGTTTCACAGCCAACATGACGAACCCAGCCCTATCTAATATAGTTGGAACCGTTGACACTTATCCCACTACCATCAAGTGTCCAAGGAAACCTTAACTCCACATTCTCCCAATCGGTTTCAGCTCTACCTTCTTAGCGCGTATTCATCAAGATTTCGATCAGTCTGGACTACCAGCAGTGATTTGGTCGCCACACCATGATTCTCAGCCCTACATCTTGTTGCCCATTCCATAAATAGCGATGCCCTTGATGGCTTTGAAAGCCCCCATGAAAGCATATTTGGCAAGAACGATATTGGGCAGTGGCTGTGATCGTTACGCTAAGCGCGTCCAGCCACCTCCCATGGCGTCAAGGTCTAAGGACTGCTGTGGCGTTGGTTTTGATTCTAAAATGTAGAGAGTGTGTTCAGCCCTTGCTAGGTACCAGGTTGATAACAGAGCATTCAGAAGCCGGGCAATTATGGCCTCTCCTCCAAGAAAAGTATATGAATCATCGTGGGTCTTGTCTGCTTGGGTGGTAACGACCATCTAGGCGGTCCATTTGCTTGACTACCTATGTGGAGAATATCTTGGGATGGGCTAGTAGGAGCGCCACGCCTCCCATAGGCACATCTTTTGTAGGATCCGATCAGTATTTATGCTTGCCGGCAATTGCTTTAGGCAATAGGCATTCGAGCTTGGGACGGCGCGAGGCTGATTGTGTAAATATAACAAAGAACGGCGTGCCACTAAGGTGGCACGTCTTTGATGCCAGGGCTGAATTCTTGGGTGTTATGTCAAGCTACAGCGACTGCCGCAGGAAGGAGGCTGTATATTGGAGCAAATTAAGTTGGGTAACTAAATCCTGTCCGGTGGAATGTTGCACAGCGCATTCTATTTATGTATATTCGGAGTTCAGCTTTGAGATCCAGGCATATCGGAGTGATCTATAAGTTCAGCTTGTTTCAACCTGCTCATGTTGTTGGATTCACTTCTCCTCATACTCCTTGTGCTTGTTCTCGCCGACTAAGATGCGTTGCGGGCACTTCTTATCCGTGGGGCTGGCTGCCATCGCCAATGTCTTTGTGCCGGGCGTCGCTGCGCAGAGTGCGCCGAAAGGTCCTTGCCAACTGCTCGCAGAGTACCAGAGTAGTGTCATTGATCAAATTCAATCGCCCTACCCGGGCGATAGACAGTTTATCAGGCTGGACGCCGAGATGGCATATAATTGCAGCATCTCTGTACAGCTTGTACCAGATGATGCGTTGAAGACAATCAATTATCTAAAGAACTACTCCGACTTCGACACCACGCTGTCTTTCCTTAAAAAGCCGCCGCCATCGTATCAAAAGCCCGCCATAGACATTATGGGCCGGCTTGAGCAAGTTGCCGATAACGTCAGGAATGGAAAATACACTAGTTACAGAGAATTTGAGATCGACATATGGGCTATAACATCAGAGTCAAGCGAGGAACATTTCGATATTGACCTGGGGCTCCTCGCAAGATTCTCCTGGTTTCTCAACGATACCATTGTTTCCCTCTCGAGAGATGGCAAAGAGTTGCCTCAAATCTATGCACGCTCCGACATTGAGAGCCTGATCTCAAACCCTTCGCCAATTATTGAGCTCGGTGGGGAACCTGTCTTTGAATATCTCCGCAGCTACATCGAACTGTATACCAAGAGTTCTTGGATTGAACCCCACGCTGACTGGAATGCGATGGTCTACAACGGCCCATATGCTTTTGGCTCTTTCGGCTTTGATGCCGAACAGTCATGGGCCTTTGGAAATTTCCAACAGACACATATATACAATGGGAAGTCTCTCCAGGTGGGATTCGCGAACGGGAGCACTGTCGAATGGTTATACAGCGCCGGGTCATCATACCATATGCTTGACAACAACATGACGAGCCCTGAAAATATATACTACGGAATAATTGCAAATCCGAGAATCTCTTCGGGAATCAACACAAGATCTGACGAACTAATCGACCGCGATAGATTGGAGCCGGTAGCTCTTGGTGAACGCCAACAGCAAAACAGTCCCCAAGTTAAACCTCTCCCTTGGGTGCCATTGTTTAACTACCCCCGGAATCCCGACATCCTCGAGGAGTACTTTGGGATGGGGGGTGTTGTTTCGGGCTACATTCTTCAGGACGATTCTATTGGTGTTCTCAGCTTGCCCAGTTATAATCCCGGCGGCGATCCCTCAAGGACTCGTGCCTCGAACTATACAGATGCCGTTTTTCAATTTATCATCCAAGCGAAGCAAAGCAGGGTGAAGAAGATCGTCATAGATCTCTCAGGAAACGGAGGCGGCCAGGTCTTTCTTGGCTATACCATCTTCAAGCTCTTCTTCCCATCTATCGAGCCCTCCCTGCTTGGACGGGTTCGAGCCACCCCTTACACCAACACCATTGGGTCAATTATGACTGGAGTCCTGCAAAATGGGACTGACATTTTTCCAAGGGACGAGTTAGAGAAGTATCGCGAACGCTATGGTGGAAGCATAGGCCTCTCCGCCTATGACATTCTGGACGCAGAGGGCGGTGATTTTGAGTCATGGAGTGCCTTCTTCGGGCCCCAGGAGAACAACGACGACAGTTTCACCAACGGAGCTCGGTATAACATGTCGGGCCCCACGGTTGAGTCCTACATGAATCTCGCGATGGCGGATATCATACCCTTGCCCCAATCCGAACTGTGGGCCGCTGAAGACATCATTCTTCTCCACGACGGTCTCTGCGGCAGCACATGTGCCATCTTCTCGGAGCTCATGAAAACAGATGCAGGCGTCAGGTCCGTCGCCGTTGGTGGCATCCCTCAGTATGGACCCATGCAGGGTGTTTCCGGCACCAGGGGGAGTACTGTGTGGAAGTTCCAGGACTACAGCAACTATATTGGCGATGTCAAAAAGGTAGTGGAGAGGCTTGGAAACCAGGCGGAAGCCTGGTTGAGCAGATGGGGTGTCTCGCTGGACGACATCCAAGCCCTGCCACTCCCAACCTGGAGATCGCCTCTCCTCATCGACAGCGGCCGCGTCAATTCCATTGACATGATCCGTGTCTCTAGCCCGGACGCGCCCCTTCAATTCACGTACCAAGCCTCCGACTGCCGCCTGTTCCATACTTTCGACACAGCCCATGACATCAGAGTGTTGTGGCGCACCGCAGCCAGGGTGGCCAGTGGTGACATGTCGGTGTGTGTCCCTGGCTCTACCAACGCTCCCGGCTCCAGCCGCAACGTCACTCTGTTGAGCGACCCGGGCTATTCCTACAACTCAACGTGGGAGCGAGCCAACTCGACAGATGTGCCCAAGAACAAGGGGCCCAATGGAAACGGCTCAGGTGCTCCTCAGTTGTCCGTCGGACTCGGTGGCCTCTTGGCTGTTGCTCTCGCTTTTGTCCTTGCCTTTTGATGTGAAATGAGATTTTTAATCATGCGGAATTCTACTTTAATACTTTATTTTGTGATATTTAGCCCTTAATACACGTTCGTTTCCAAGTTTATGTAAATATGCTCTTCAGTCGCAAAGTAACCCGGCAAAGCATATCTATCTCCTGATTATACTTATGCTGTGGTATCCCATACCTGAATAGTGAGATTGTATATAATACGTGAGAGAGTTCGAGTGTCAAGTTAAAACAGCATTAAAAGATGCCAGACTCGACAGCGGAAAACAATGAAGACGAAGAGGATGTATTTAATAACTAACTCCTTGGTTATCGCAGCCTATACACCGAAGGACTCAAAGCTATGGAGATGTGATCAAAATGTTTGATAATTCATAAAGAGTATTCTATAAAGCACTGGTCGGCTGTCTATAAGTGAAAGAACAACTAATAATCGAATGAATGAAATAAATTTCAGAAGCGTCAAAGGTACTTCCACACCAATTTTCATAGGTGACGCCTACTGTTGCAACTTTGCAAAGCTGCTTACAGTGTCCACAATGGTCTCCTCCAGAGTTCTAAATGTCATACCGAGCTCCTTAACGGCCTTGGATGTGTCAAGACGGTAGACAGGGGGAAGAGGGGCCCCGGCGTCACCTTTTGGAGTTTTCTCACGTAGCTCTGGGAATTTTTCACGAATGATGTCGACAACGTTCTGGTAGCTATAGCCTGAGCTGGTGATCAGGTAGCGCTGACCAGCTGCCTCGGGTATCTCGAAAGCTCTCAGGTGAGCTTCGGCGACTGAATATTACTAGTTAGCGAGAGAAATGAGGTTGGGGAAGGCTAGCGACGTACGGTCACGGACATCAGCAAATGTCCAGAAAGATGTGTCGGGCACTTCCTTCTCTGAACCATCGATGAGACGGTAGATGTCTGCCGCGGAGGTGTTCAGCTTGGTAGTATCCTCGACATGCTGATCGACTGGGCCGTAGACCATGGGAGGCAAAAGTGTGGTGATGTCAAAGTTTGGCTGCTCAGATGGTCAGAATGTCAATTCAGTGACAGGTAACGGATTGTTGATGTACCTTGTTATCCCTGACGAAGTCCCAGGCAGCTTTCTCTGCAAAGGTCTTAGAGGCAAGGTATGCCACAACCGGATTGGCTGAGGCTGTCTCAGGGGTGACTGGGTTCCAGTCCGCTTCAGTGTAGGTGTAGCCAGGGCGAGTACCCTGAGTCGGATCAAGGACCGAGGCGAATGAGGAGGTGATGACAATTCTAGTGATGCTAGGGTTGTATTTCTGGGCGGATTCCAAAACACTGGTGGTTCCCTTCACGGCCGGTTGGAAGAGCTCCTTGTCGAAATCAACGGCATTTGTGATAAATGGGGAGGCTAAATGGATAATCTGTATGTGTTAGCTCCAAGATGCAAGTATCCAGGTGTTGTGTGACTTACGCCATCCACACCCTTGACAGCCTCGTCAAACGCATTGGGCGCTGCGATATCTGGGACAATGACCGTAGTCAATTGCCCGGGATACTTGGCGTGTGTCTTTAGAACCTCTGATGCCGATTTCTGGGAGCGGACAGTTCCACGGACATTGTAGCCCTGGCGGAGAAAGGAGTCAATTGTATGAGTTGCGATGAACCCAGAGGCACCTGTAATGAGGACTGTCTTGGCCATTGTAAAGACTTTGATGTTTGTATTGTGACTTGATGTGGGTGGCTGAAGGTTGTGCAATTTGAAACAGGAGCAAGCGTGTGAAGATTGAAAAGTTGATGAGCTGAATGTATTGAGTGTTTTGGTGATGAGTATTTGCTATATCGTGGGATTCCATGTTCATATATATACCTGCGCAAGGGGCCCAACGATGTAAACTACCCCCTCTTCCAAGTTGAGTGTGGTTGTGATGCTCACAAGGGTCCGTTCCGGGACTCCGAAACTCCGGAATTCCGGGCAGCATGCTGACAGAGGGAGAAGCCGCCGGGTGTTGAATGACCACTACTATTGTGCCAGTAGTGGTAGCTGGTGGATAAGCCAGTTGCAGTAGCGTGTTTTTGCCGTCACCTTGATGACATATTGAGTCCTAGCTAGATGCAAAGCCTGGTATCTAGTCGCGACTCTCCGAAATACCGTCTACGCACATCACATCCACCTTGAAGTTCAGGATGCGGTCGAAATTGCCAGAACCTGCTGACCGCCTCATGAGAATTATTACGGACTAGATAATTTTTCTATTTTAAATTTAATCAAGAGGCTGCGAAACCCTACAACAACTCATGCTTTGCTTGTATGTGATGGGTGCAATTTAATCGGGCGAAGCGTTTTTGTTCCATCTGGGCCCCAAGCATAGCCATCGCCATCGACTTTCAGGTCGTGCGCCCGGATCAAAAGAAGCGCCATCCTTTATTCCTGACAGCTCTGAGAAAGGCGAAACCTGCGTTCATCTTGTTCTGTGGGGATGGCCAATGCTCAGCCTTACGAATTGTTCCTCGTTTCCGTCATTCCGCTTCTCCGCCTTCACCAGACGTAGTGGGTCAACATCCGCGAACAATATTGAAGCCATAGACAGATCCATGAAGAGATTGATGTTTAGACGTGGTATAGGTACTTTGTAAGACCATGCAATCAATTGCGCAATGGTTTCATGTCCGGACTCACAAGTGCGATCGCCTCCTACTTCCCAAGCCCTTATGAAATTCGATGTGTCTCCGACATATAACGAGTTTATCAGCAGAAAGCTATCACATATTCGATGCAACAAAAGGCGGGCGTAGACATGGATTTAATTCATTGGTATTATTTGACTACTGATTCACTGAATTGAGGCCGGAGTGTTCGAATCGCCTGGCTTCCTTGCAAGCATTGTAAGATAAGGTCATATACCTACTTGTTGCCGCCACAGAACAATGTTTCCTACGAAACGTGACACATTGAGATCAACTAAGCCCACGCAATTGAGGAAAGCTATCCCTGATATTGCCATGGATACGATTGGGTGAAGAAATGCAGTGGCTATGGCTACTTTGGCGCAACACCAGCCACGTCCGAGCACGAGCAAATAATGATGACGGTTATGATGATTATGCATGTTGGTCTGCAGGCATGTATCGGGGCTAATCTCCTGCTGATGGGACACAAATCCGCAGAACACAAATGCGTGGAACACAAATTTGTTTAAGCCACCCTGGTCCGGGCTTGGCCACAAATGCGTGCACCGCAACTGTGTTGTAACCAGCGTTGGCCACAAATGTGTTGGCTGCTTGACTTCGCGGGACAGAATATTAACCAGGTCCTATAAATATAAAGTCTCGTCTGTGCTCCCCTCGAAAATGAGCTTTTGCGAGCAACAATCCAAAATACCTCGTTGACAATCTGTATGCGGTAGACGTATCTACCAAATAATTGAGTCAATCTCTCCGCTTAGGCTGAGTACCATATGTTTCATTTACTCTCTTAGGGCCACATCCTCACGATACCGGCCGGATGTTGTGTTATCCTTCGAGGGGCACACTTCTTCATCGTCGAGGTCCATTATGATATAGTTTTACTAAATCGCGAGCGCCGAGTCTGAGTGCTGCGCTGAGCCAAGCAGGTCGTCCCGGGCGCACATCACAGCAGGGCTCTGCCTCTAAATGGTCTTTAACTTGGATTTTAAGATGGAAACGTGATGATCAGTCACCCTATATGACTAATTAGGAGTAGAAACCTTATAAGCATATTATCACGAGATAGCGACTCTGGGACCACAATCGAAGGAAATAAGAAAGAGAAAAATCAAAATGAAGCCCGAGTGATGAATAAGAAAAAGAAAAAGGTGATGGAGTGAGACATGGTGAAATCAAGGACAGTAAAAGGGAGAGTACAATATGAATCCCTCCACGAGATAAGAAGAAAAGAAAAGAAGCAAAGAAAATCCACTGTGGGAAGTTACATGGCTCCGAGATTCCCATGATACCAAGACGTGCGGGAGAGAGGGACTGGTCGCTGGTATGGTTCAGGGGTAACCATCGCATCTGCTAACATGGGCAGCACCTTATTGATCAGGCCAGCTTGTAGAGAAGGTAGATGAATGCCCTCAAGCGGAATGCCATGTCGCCGTAGTTCCGTAATTAAGCCACCGTACAGCGACTCGTGGAACAATGCATTTTCACGCATAATCCTCAACGGCTCGTCGAAAGTCAAGCTCACGTACGGGGACATGGGGACAGAGGCGTTGGGGAAGATCTGTCTGTACATCATGTACCACTTATCGGCGTCGCTTAAGCCGCGCGTATGTGCCAAAGCTCGCCCAAGCTCATCAAACGTCTCTTGGAAAAGACGCTCTGGGCCTTCCAGGGGCAAGCAGCAAAAGTTGGCAGTGCAGCTATGGTCCTGCAATTGCTGTGCGTTGTCGAATTCTTGGAAGCAAATGGCGCAGTAGTGTTTGCCCACCAGGTGCACCCGCTCAATATGAGATTTAACATCAGAGACTCGTTTGAATGTATATTTGCGGTAGCATCGCCAGTGTCTCAGTGGAGAATACTTGTAGAAGGGGCAGCTGAATGAGGGTGGTTCCTCGCTCATCTTGTCGCCCAAAGATAATTCTGTTGAAGCGCAGATAACTGGCATTGATCGGAGAGTGGTAATGGAGGTAATGCTATATATCAAACTGAGAGGTAGAAGACTGCCACAAACTGATGTGAACACCTGTGAAGATGGGACTTTTGGGCTTCCTGTTTATACTTTCATACACAGTACTAAGATTCTCTGCTAAACCGCTGGATGGGACAAGAGATGAATGTGAATCTTTCTGTCCGCATTTGTACTAATATTGCTAGGATTGCATGCAGAGAAAAAAGTACAGCCACCGCTCATTGAACTGAGAAACAGAGGGGAGTGGCTGCTTAGCCGCTTCCAACCTCTGGTGAGCATTGTAGGTAACGTTTGAGGGGACATGCACGTCTTCATTCTGCACTTGTTTTGGTAAAATGCGGAAGTATACTGAGGCTCAGATAGTGGGCAAGTTCAGCGCATTCAGCCCCCTCGACGCAATTTTGATGTGCGTGTGGCTCGGTCCATCAGCTGCCGGTAGGTCATTGGTCCACTGTTTCGACTGACAATCACTGAATAACTCATTCTTCATTTGTTGCTCTTTGTGATATTACTGTCAGCCTACAAAAAAGGGCCGCGCAGGATCCAGACTGATACCCCTCCTAGTCACCACCTGACTCGAAGTCAGATAATTGCATAATTATATGTTGCACTTCACGTTTATTTGCCAACGGCACGATGTCCGGGAAGGAAGAGGCGGTGTATTGTTTGCTTCCTAGTCAAATCACGAACCCGAGGATTGCTCCCATTCGCATCACCTGGGTCTCAACAGACGTCCAGCAAACTTGCTCTTAATAGGAAAGGGTAACATGACGAAAGCCTTTGCGGTGATGGACAATGAGGAGGAAATCCCCGAGACTGCTAAGTGAACGTGAGCAACAGTTGAGAGTTTCACATCACCTAAAGGAGACTCCTTATTTATCGCGAGAAGCACTACGACGAGAACCGCTAGTAACAGCTCTTTAGCACGAATTTACACGCATCAAGCTGCACTATTTCGTAGGTAAGAGTAGGATAAATTGGCTGATAGCCATGTCATGGATCAGGCATTGTTGGGCATCAAACAATCAGCATGCCCCTTAAGGCTTGAAAAAACGATCAGTCAGACCCGCCACTTTCCCACACGTCCCAAGCGCTAGGTGTATACATGTACACAAATGTGAGATGCGCAATTTGACAGAGCACGCATGCTTTCTCCTCCAGCATGTCAGCTGTCTTAAACACTTTCTAGAGCACCTGCTCGAGATGCATAAACGCACGCCAGTGAGTTGGAGGGTATTATGCAAACAATTCCGAGGTCTAAGACCCGGACAACACTCGGAGGGGAAGATAACCGCTGGAAGATAATCAGAATAGGTACTGGGCCATATAGGCCCGTTCAGATAGCAACCTGCGAATCACATCATTGATAATATGTTACTTGCCCTGAGACAAAAGCCCCCAAGCAAGCAACTCACCCACCATAGAGTGTGGTTAATTATGTAATTGAACTGCCAAATCACCAGACGTTATAAATACGGCCTGAGAATGGTTACCCCGCCCTCTGGCTTCTTCTTCTTCTTCTTCTTCTTCTTCTTCCCATCCTTCTACTGCCAACCGCAACCGCAACAAGGGTACAATGGAGTCGTCGTCGTCACCTTTTCTCAGCCTTCCTTACCACATTCGCAAGCGAATCTACCTGTTTGCCAATATCGTTCGCGAGTGTCCAATTGAATTTATCCTCCCCACACAGCGAGCGAAACACGCCTCCGATATAGCATATATTGTGTCGACAGTTCCTCCTCCTCCACCTCCACGACCACCTGGATACATCGAGCCACCCCGACCTTTCAAGATGGATTGCCCACTGCAGAATGCAGTGTACAAGTGTAAATGTCCGGAAATATCAATACAGCTTCTATTTGTCAACAAGACTATTCATAGCGAGGTCCTGCCACTGATTTACGGGATGAATAAATTCATCATAGGCTCCCTCCAAGCCAGCGACTATCAGGTATTGAACAGCCTTTCCCGTGAAGCGATACAGAATTTGCGTCGCGTCCATGTCCAGCTAAATGAGTGCTTTTGCTGTCCTTTCCACCAATTCGATCAGTGCTACCGCTGCGGCACGTCATTTCAACCAAGTGATCGGGAACTCTTAGCTGGCGAGACTGGGTCTGAGGATAGAATCCGGGAGTGGGCGGCCATATGCAGTCGTCTATCGGGCCAAGTCCCGGGATCCCTCAACTTGGAGTTTTTCTGCAATGTGAAAGACTTGGCGACCGCAAGGCGGCTTATGGAGCCCATCAACGACCTTCCTCGCTTGAATTCATTGGCAATCAGTTTCGGGAGACACCACGACTCGACTCTTCGCTCACTTGCTTACGAGGCAGTGAGGAGAGCAACGGGGGAAAGGCAAGGCCTTGAGCCAGCTGCTTCTGCCTTTCCACTTTTGCGGCTGCCGCATGAAATCCGGCTTAGAATCCTGGGGTTTACATCTCTCGCACCTGGTTTTAAACCCGAGTCGCGGACAATTTTCGTTAGATCTGGCAAGCGGCTCAACGCTCGGAATTGTTGCCGAAGATGCTCATTTTCACATCACGATTGCTGCTGCTCTGGATACCATACATCTTGCTCGCCAAATTGTCGTTGCAGGCTCGTGCCCATGGAGGTTTTCCTCGTGTCTCGACAACTATACATGGATGCATGCGATGTCTTTTACCGCACCAATGAGTTCAGTTTCTGCGGTTCTTTCCAAAAGAACTTGGAAATGCTCCAGACTTGTCGGCCCCATGTATTGAAACAATTTCGGCGTGTCAGGTTTGAGATAACAGTGGGGGGCGCGGAGCCGTTGGGCGAGGGCACCAAGGAGGATTGGTTCTCGCTTATCTCTTTTGTTGGAAAGCATTTTGACTTACCAAAGCTACTCATTATCATCGACACGGACAGAAAACGAATAGAGAGGACCCAGCCAGGAGAGCGCTGGGAGAACCTACTTAGACGAAGGTACAACAGCGAGATCGTTGTCGCGAAGGCTATGAAAAGGGCCCCGCTGCGTGGCTTACAAGATCTTCACTTTCATCTAACCCTTTTCTTCGATCTTGAACCCGTTTTGGAAAGGCATATCATGGGTCCGGAGTACAACAGTAGCAAAGGCAACCGACATGCCAAGCAGTTTGGAATCCTTGCTTTACTCGACCCATTCTCCGGAGAGCCAACATATCCTCAGGTTCCGAGACCGAACGTCGCGATTCCATCTTGGCATCGTGATCTATGATGGAGACTAATATCTTCACAAACTAATATGGGCGTTGATTTCGTTTGGCTTGAAAAGGGACACACGTGAGAAGGGCACTGAGGGTGACGGTAAGAACATTGCGCCATTTGGAATCAACAAAATTCCAAGCCACGGGCCTGTAAACCACTAACTAGGCTTCATACAGATCGGCAGACACCAACCGGACTGGAGGGACGGTTGGGTGAATGTCACTACAGCCATCTAGTCTAACGGAGTGGTATCAAAAATGGGGCGTGAGGACTATGGAAATTGGACTATCGGGGTTTCATGGAAAATGGGGGCACTAAGTAGATGACTAGAGGCGAGAAATGTGACTTTGAAGGCCCGAAACTAGCTCAGGCCCAGACACATCATTGATCGAGACGCGCGCGGGGTTCACTTCACACGAGATATGACAGGTTATAGTACGCTCCGTAGCCGAGAAATACGGCTTCTTCATTTATCGCCTCTTACACGTACTCGCGACAAAGATGAGAGCTTGCCTTCATTGACTGGGCCTACCGGGCAGCCACTGTGCTTGTCTTTCCATGTGGTGAGCTTGGGTCAGACGGAGATACCCAAGTTCGTGGCTCTATCATACGCTTGGGGCGACGTTGGGAAAACACTTGACTTACAAGTCTCTGGTCATCCCGTCTGTCTAACTCATAATCTATACGACATACTTCAGTGTCTTTCTCTCGATGAATCTTCCGAATTCTTTTGGATCGATGCCTTGTGCATAAACCAAGACGATGTTGATGAGCGGTCTACACAGGTGCTCCTGATGCGAGAGGTATACTCCTTGGCAACATCCGTCCGAGTATTCTTGTCGCTTGAATCCGAGCCGCTCAATATTGGCATGACGTTCCTGGAGCAGGTGGCGTTAAATCCCGAGATGCACTTCAGTCCGGATCTCTCTCCATGTATAACAGTCGAGGGCCTGACTGTCGCTTCTGAAGAATTACGCGAATCCTTCATTGCTTTCTTCGCCGCTCCTTGGTGGACACGCATCTGGCCAGTGCAGGAGTACGTGCTTGCCAAAGAGGTTGTGTTCCAATGCGGAAAGCGCCGTTTGGAGGGTAGCAAGATTCAAACTGCTCTGAAAAACCTGGTGCGTCACGAGAGCACGTGTTGTTGGGCTGCTCGGCGAGCTATCGATGGTAATGCTAGGGGTTACCTGGATATACCGAGCAAAGCACACGGCTCGTTGACAATATTTCACGCCACTTTACGCCTTGATAATCTTCAGAACATGCTGAGTCCTGAAGACTACTTAATCTACAACCTCTTGGATGCCATGGCACTATTCCGAACCCGGGATTGTTCGGATCCCCGCGATCGAATATTTGGAATGTTGGGTCTAAAATTTAAAGATGAAACGCTAAGAAACAACATCGAAGTCAACTACAAAATTCCTGAAGCTCAGCTATATGAATCTATCACGTTGAAGATGATTGAGAACTCCGAGTCCCTCAATGTCCTCAGTCATGTGCTGAGTGGTTCTTTCATCAAACAACAGATGCATCAGCTGCCAAGCTGGGTGCCTGACTGGACTGCAGAAATGGATGCAACATCCCATTTAATGTACATAGAGCGGATGAAGTTCCTCCACCAGTTTCAAGCCTCAGGGGCGATGAAACCCTCATGGAAAGCCATAGCCTCTGGCAAGATTCGCACGCATGCTATAATCATTTCTAAAATTTCCGAAATAGCGCCCGGCTACCCACGAGATTACAATTCCCTCCCTGGGCGACTGGTCTTGGAAGAATGGCGGCGACTTGCTTGCTTGCCCAAAAATGGCATCGAAGATTCCTCACATGGCAACGCAGAATTATCCCGACGAGAGAAGGAATTTCGAGTCTTTCTTTGCGGCTACTTGACCCTTAAATCCTGGTCTGATGATGAACTGGAAAGAGCTTATGACACATGGGCGAACTGGTTCACACACGATAAGCCGGCATCACTTCCCTTGGAAACGAGGAATGACGCGAGAGGGTTCGACAACTTGGTTCGCTTCACGAGCTCCGGAAGAAGCTTTTTTGTGGCTGAAAATGGATTGATTGGATTTGGACCTGAACCGATGGAATTTGGGGATAGTCTAGTCGTGATTCCCGGTGGGAGGGTGCCCTACGTCCTGCGGAATGTGAAGCACGGAACCAGTGAAGGGTCCATGATGTGCACGTTTGTTGGTGACGCCACTGTCCAAAATATGATGTTTGGGGAATTTGTGACATCAAAGGCGCCTGGAGAAGCCCTTGATATGCAGGACATAATTCTTCTCTAATTACTAAAAGTTTCGATAGGTAAGCTCCATGACAGCCATAGAAATATCAGACATACTTCATTATTGATGAGGGAACGAGCAACAGGGGGGGTTCGGTAATTGCTAAGCCGCGGTTAGCCTTCTGATATGGCCATCCTCTGTGCACGACAGAAATGGAGTGTTGTCCAGAAGTACCGCCGATCCCTCATCTTGTCACCTCCAGGTCGTGCCTTAAGTGGCTCCAGCAGGATGGGATTTCATCAGATGCAGATCGCGATGGAACTTTTTCAGCCTCCTTGAAGGCAGCCAACGAACCACGTGTCAATCCCCAGGGAAATTTTGCCACTGTCACCGGATCTGATTCCATTGACGGATGCTCTGCTTCATGAATCTAATATCAATCTTCACCTGTTAAATGAACACATATGCCGAATTATAGAAACTTCACGGCCAGGCTGCCTAACTTGGAAGAGCCAAGGAATTGCGGCTGTAAACCAAGAAGAGTTTCTTTCCATTCTAGGGTTAGCTCTACTTCAGCTATACAATTATATGTAAAGCTCGATATCTGCAGGTCTAATACGAATTCTACATACTTATTGAGAAAGTCCTCGTCCATGCTGCCCTTTAGGGGTTTGCACTAGCGTGATTTGCAGAAGTGGCTCACCAGTGGATAATTATCCTACCTTGGACAGTAAGTACAAAGTTTTCTATAAATTAGGTAGGTTCGCTCTGAGGACTGTCTACTTTATCATCACTCTCTCAAAATATCATTATTGCATACTCGCATCTACATCTAGATCCGAAGTTTCGACCGATAAAATGAAGACTTACTTTGCCCTCGTTGCCTTCCTTGTATCCGCCTCCCTCGCGGCACCAACCGATGGCGCTTCGCAGGAGGTCAGCCTATTCCTAGCAGAGCGCAATTGCAACCGCGATGACGAACCTTGCATCGGCGATAATAATTGCTGCAGTAAAATATGCCGAGTACGTTTTATAAATTTACCGCTCTTCTAGCCCTTATCTCTTTGGACCATCAATGGATGCTAATGGATAGGAAAATACCTACAGTGGAAAGCCGGTGACCCAAAGGGCAAATGTGGCGCACATTAATTGTCACAGGCCATGTTGAAACAAACACAAGGCCGCCTAGAAGGGTACCGCCTGTGCAGTTGGCATTGCTGGTTACTCGGCCACGGGCTAAGCCGCATGGTGGATGGATATTTGACATTCATTGACTCTGCCACGAGGTGTTCTTGAAACAAGTACCACCTAAGAGAAAGAGAATAAAGTTCAACAGCAATGGAAGCTGCCAGAGCCCGACAACTCAACACAATGAATATTGAAACAAGTATTGTTATGTTTTAAGAAATCTATTACTTCGGTGAAATTAAGATGGATGAAAGTAAATAAGAGAGTAGTATATTAGATCTCTAAAGAATTATAGATACTTTAACACTCTTACTCTACCTAGGCGTTCAAATAGTAAAAGCTTGAAAGGTGCAAGGTCCCTACTTCAATTTAACAGTACGCTCAGTATCTAAAATACAGACCATGATTCCAAAAAGGAGTTCCTTGCTCCCAGAAAGCTTTTCCCTGCTAACAATACTCTATTTAATAAGTGAGTGCTTGGTAATAGTTTAAGTTTTTTTCTCTCCAAATACCCTTTGAGCTCTCCTTTGTGTTGGGTTGGTTTGGTGGACATAGGCACTGGGAGGATAAAGCGGAATTGGCTTGCAGTCTTGGACGACGAAGAAGTCCCCATTCCTAGGATATAGGCAAGGGCAGAAATAGCCCGATGGAGGTTGGAACCTTCATGTTATCTATGATCAAGGCCGTGGTTGATGGATCGGGCCACTATAGGAGTACTATATTTCCTATAACGTTATGTGATATAATTTTTGGCGCTCTATTCAAGCCAAAGCTGCGTAAATGAACACCCTCTCCCACAGTTCCCAGGCTGTTAGTGCTGGTCTGCAGGAGGTATTTTGCTGCGGAGTTCGGAATAAGTTCATGGAAGTCCGCAATCCACGTGCCTGGCCCCTGCGTAAGCCATCCATAATAAGCATCATTCACGACACGGTCTGACACGTCTTTATTCCCCGACCGCAGCATTTAGTACCTTCATCCCCGAGTACCAAGCCAACAAGCAACGTATGGCGGAGTTGAAGCAAAGAGCACATGGACTGGCGGATGGAGCGCTGCCGTCGGTTTCATCCGATGTGGTTCCAATGCACTCATCCCTCACTGAGGTACGTCTCGGCGGACCCCGTTACTATCCCCAGAGCTACCAGGTATATCTGTTGAGAAATGGCCGGTTTATTAACTGGTTTGCAGGCTTGTGGGCCTGATGATGACTGGTCCGGCGTGAAGGAGAGGGCCGAACGGCGCAAGATACAAAACAGGCTCAACGTGAGGGCACATCGTAAGTGAGCTACCTTGAGACACTCGCTTGGGGATCGTTTCACGTCTGACCAACTGCTCCTAGGCAAAAGAAAGGCGCTAGAAGATGGAAATCTTCTTGATAATGTCCTTGCTTCTCGCAGACGCAAGCCTCGCACAGGAGCCGGGTCCACGACTGGTCGGATCGCCACTGAGAGCTCCGTCTCCAACCAGGTTCAAACCACCGCGCAACAGAGTCGGAATACGCGACGAGCCATCATGGCACACTTGCGTTCCAATCGCGGGCTCGGGGAGCTCAAAGCACGGTTTCCCATCAGCCGCGATCACCTTATCCCGCTGATCCAATACAACGCCTTGCGCGCGATACTCACCAACATCCACATCCTCTATATCTGTAACTTGATAATTGAGCCTTTCCCGGACACCAGCTGTGTCCCGACAGAAATTCAGCGTGTGGTTCTCTGGGACACAAGCCAGCCAGCCCAGGAGCCTCCTGACACGCTGCAACTAACGCCGCTCCAGCAAAGAATGCCTCATGGGCCTTGGATTGACACTCTGCCGCTTGCCAAGATGAGAGACAACGCGATCGTGCTGGAGGGCTCATTTGACTTCGAGGAGTTTATAACGGACTGTTTCGGAGCCCTATGCAATTCTGGGCGCGGCAGAGACAGTTCCGGCGAATGCGGCGTGATTGCGTGGTCGGATCCTTGGCATCCGCGAGGCTGGGAGTTTACCGAGGGGTTTATCAGAAAGTGGAAGAGGAGTATGCTGGAGGGGTGCGAAGACACAATAGAATCTACAAACTATTGGAGGAGTCTGAGGGAAGAAGAGCCTTTAGTATGGGATGACCTCTAGTTGAGATAGAAATCAGATGCTCAGAGCTAAAGGGTGTTTTGTCCTCCTCGCAGCATGTTCAAAGTGAAGCCATCACCAATTCCGGGGCGCTCCAAGCCTGAAGTCCGGTGAAGGAGAGGCCTGATCAGCGCCTACAGGGGCCTTCAGCATTACACCCACTGCTGGAATCCCCGAAGTGGAGGGAAAGCCGTCACCTGTCAAGCAGAACCCATTGAACTCCGGCCGCCAATCAATCCGCTAATTGAGCCCAGCAAGCGCTGTTAGTGGGGACTTCCACGGCCTAAAATAACCCGAGCCTGATCGTCCCCGCATCACGTTGATCCACGTTGAAGTGGCAGGCCGCAATCCGAAAATCTTCAGACCTCCCCTCACACCCCTCACGGCCCTCGATCACAAACCCCTCGACCCAACAGCTGTTGCAGCTCTTGACCAAGATGGAGTTCGATCCTGAGACTCGTATGTCGCTCCCTGCGAGGTTGTGCCGCTCCAATCCCCCCGCTAACGATTGCCCTACCCCGCCATCCAGCCCAGTACAACACCTCCGACCCAACCTCTTTCGCCAGCGTCACCGTCGTGAGACGATGGCCAGTGATCATTGTGCGTGCCTCATTATCCTCCTCCAGCTCCTGGCCTAAATTTTCCGTCCCTACACACCGTGTTCTCGCCCGTCGCTGACCTTTGGTTGCAGACTCAATCGATCGACGATGTCCACCGAACCCTGTCCAAAGTCGACGACCCCGACAAGCTCGCCGAGGGCAAAAAGATAATTGAGAGTCTCGGTGCGCTCAAGTACGAGATGCTCCACGACCGCAAGATGACGTACGAATTATCCGCTCCATGGCCAGGTAGCTGAGCTAACCGCCGCCGGGCAGACCTCTTGTCGACGACGGATTCCCCGACGAAATCGCCGCATACAATAATGAGCTCGACAAGCTGGGCAACCCTACTTGGCAAAAGGTCCCTTGGCTGTATAGCGAGTGCTACATGTACAGGTAGCTAGACACCCTCCCTGGGCCTCATGCCACCACCGCGGCCCGGCCTCATGGCCAGCGAACGAACGATGTCGAGAGGAAGACGACCTAACAAACTCGAATTAGACGAATCCACAATATCTTCAGGCTTACCGAGCACTGGAAGAGCTATGATGTCTTTGCCCGTCAAAAGATCAAGGGACTCCGAGACTCACGAGCAGGTGTCCTCGAATTGGCGGCCCGATACAAGGAACTCCTGGAGCAAATTCGCTCCAACAGCGCCGTAGCTCATGATGAGGAGGCCGAGAAGATTCTCTTTGCCGAGATGTTCGACATCTGTCTCTGGGGAAACGCAACCGACCTGTCCCTGTTAACAACTCTTACCCACGATGATATACAGCGATTACAAGGAGCCAAGGCTCGAAAGGCCGCCGAGGAGAATATCCTCGCCAATGACGTCCCTGCAGCATATGAACTGCTCAAGAAGGCCCGAGACGCTGGCGAGAAGGAACGCCAGGTTGACTTTGTCCTCGACAATGCTGGCTTTGAACTCTACGCTGACCTGATTCTCGCGGGATACCTTCTTGCCTCCGGGCTCGCCACGCGTGTCGTTCTCCACCCCAAGTCCATCCCATGGTTTGTATCCGACGTCATGCCCGCCGATTTCGCAGCCCTTCTCAACGCCATCTCCAACCCTCGAGGCTTCTTCGAAACCCAGTCCGAGGAGGAGAGCTTCCAGGACAAGACACCCGCGCCCCTTGCTGACAAGGAAGTCCAAGACCTGCTGTTCCTATTCCAGGACTGGGCAACACACCACGCCGAGGGCGAGCTGCTTATCCGCCCCAACCGCTACTGGACTGCTGCTGGTAGTTTCTGGAGGCTGCCCCACGAGGAAAAGGCGCTGTACGAGGACCTCAAGACCTCTAAACTCGTCATTTTCAAGGGTGATTTGAACTACCGAAAGCTAGTTGCCGACGTACGTGCTTGATTTCCATTCCGATGATTCATTACCTGTTCTTTCTTGCCTTTTCTTGTGTTAACTGTTGCAACAGGCAATGTGGGATCCCACAACTTCCTTCTCAACTGCCATTGGCTCGCTCGGCCCAGGGTCTGGCGTGAATGTCCTCGCCTTGCGCACTTGCAAGGCTGACGTGGTGGTTGGTCTCAAGCCAGGAACAGACGAGGAGCTGAGGGCCACCGAGGATGGCGGGGGCGACTCTGGAGCCCGAAAATGGTGCTGGAGCGGTAAATGGGCTGTTGTGAGTCTGTCCAATGGCAGCTGAGAGTCCCAAGATTCAAATAGACAAACCCCAGTGGTAGATAACATGGTGCCCATACGTGATGTGTGACTAAACCGCAGTATCTCCTCTCTCACCCCTCACGCTAGTAGTTACAACCAAGACTATACTGAACGTGATCATGACGCTGGCAAGACCCTGATGGCTCAAGTTTTGGCTAATCAACGGCACATCTAACGTGCAAGGGTAAGCCAATATTCCAAAAACCTCGACGGTTCTAACCGCGCGGGAAAAGCGGAATGCTCGCTTCGATGAGGCAGGTCATATTATATCGAGAACTATATGGCTCATTAGATCCAATACAGCCATACGAGTCTAGACCGGTCTTTTAGCTCTAATATACACCTAAGCAATGTCATGAACCTGAAACTCTGCCCTAGTTGTTTTCTTCATCTCCGCCAGTTCGGTCCTACATGTCAAAGGTGCAGGCAGACCAGGGGTTAGGGATACCATGGCATGTCTCCACGGTACCCTAACAAGGTTCGCCTGAACTACTAGATGTATGCATCATGTCATTCCCAGGGAGCCTGTCACCCTGGTCAGAAGGGGCTGGCCTGTGCCATCTACATTCTAGAGCCCAAAGCTCAAGCCCAAAGACTCGATGATCATCTCCCCCTTTCTCTTTACCGCTTGCAGATCCGGTTCGTTCGGTACCGACCTAGATAGCCTTGTCAAGACTTTATGCCCGGAGGCTCTACATCCGAAGAGTTTCAAAGGTGAAGAATTGTCACTTTCTCACGATACTTCTAGCCGAGATTATTCACCAGATCGTTGCTTCTATTATCTTACTCCTCCTCATGAAGCACACCCATTATCTAGTACAGCTTATCGTATTCATAGCACAGAGGTCCCTCCTGGATATGCATCACATCACGGACCTTGGCCTGCAGCTTGACCGTCTCGCCAACAGTAATGGTATCGTCAAGGGTAATGTTACCGCCGAGCTGGTTAGTCCAGTCAAAGTTAACCAAGGGTCCGGAAACATCGGTCAGGCGCTTCCTGAGATTGCGCTTCTGCCACGACCACCAGGTGCGGTCAAGGTTGGCGTGGTGAGACCAGAAGATAGGGTCGGCGGCTAGTTCCGAATGTTAGTCTCATACCGCCATTCGTTTATGATCAAATGAAAAACGCTCAGGGTTACTTACGGCTTGCCCACTTGTCAGTCATGGTTCCGTAGAGTCCACCGACGGCCCAGTGACCGCCAGCATGGAAGGTGCTCTCGGTAACCCTGTCGAACCATCCGAAGTTTGGGAGGGCCAGGCCGGTCATGACGCTCAGCGGGCCGGACATGGATGCGAAGGTGAGAGGCGCGAAATCACGCTGGACGCAGTGCGGGTTGTAGGCAGTCTTGTTCGAAGGGCCGAGGTTGGACACGAGGCCGGCAAAGGGTCCGTCCTGGATGCAGCCGCCGCCAGTTCGGTCGGGGACGTCCCAGGGAGTGTTCACAGTCTGGCCCGGAGCTGGGTTGTCGAAGCTTCCAGGGATCCAGGGTCCGTTGCCACCGAAGCCGTGCTTGGTGTCGAAGATGGGGGAGTTGAAGAACACATCTGTCACATTGTCAAGCCCAGGTGAGTCCTTGACCCAGTCCCAGTAGGGAATGCCATCTTTCCAGCCACAAGTGCTGAGCGCCTCTTCAAATGAGTGGAGGAGCAGGCGGTGGTACGGGTAGAAGACGCCCTGAATTTATTAGAAGATGGCAGATTTGTGCACGAGCGGTTTAATCTGCACTCACAACGAAGTGAACCTTGTCGGCGTTGACAATGTGTGTGCCGAGGAAATCATCATATCGGCTTCGAACACCAGGGATAACATCTTGCGATGTTTGAGGGGGCTTCTTCATGAGACACTTGAGAGCATCGAGGTACTTCAAGCGATTCTGTACGCTCAGTGTACGCCTGTTCAGATACAAACTATCAGATTCATCCTTCACAATGGGTATAGATTGACGCTATATGAGGCGGGAGACTCACCATTCCCGTCTAACAATAGGCTTGCGACAGTGGGCAGCGGCGCAGGTTGCAAGCAGGGCAACCGTAAGAGCAGTCCACACGGACCTCACGCCGGAGACACGCATATTAGATATTAAAAGACTTGGAGTATTAACACAACGAAGGCAAAGACGACACAAGAGGTCGAGAACCAAGGTGCTTCGGCTTGGAGAAACTGGTGAGCCTTGGGGCACGAGTCAAACCATCGGCGGCCGTGGGCTTATTATCTACTTCATGTCGATTCATGCACGATATGGATCTTTCCGGCGCAAGAGGCAAGACCCTGATTGCGCCCACATGGAAATGAGATGATTGTAGGGTCTCAGCCCGACCAACCAACAGCCAAGCGCACCTGTGGATAGCAAGAAGCGGAGACTCAGGTGAATCCTTCTTTGGCCTTGTCTAGTTCCTCGACTTTCTTGGGGACGGCCAGGGATTCACAAGGTTCAGCACACTCCACTTCGCATTGGTAGACCAGAGAGACCCCAGCGGGTGATGCGAGAGCTGGCACAGGCGGCCGCGAGAAGAGGAGATTGGCAGACTCTCAGGCCATTCAACCTTGAGCCATTAGCCAGATCAAGGCGTAGTTCCGGGCCAAGCTACGGGGTATTGGCAGGGGGCTGGCATGGGCAGCCGCAGTGGTTCGAAACACGGAGATTTTTGCCTCCGAATGCAGATGACGAGATGAGGCGGGGGATAAGCGGTAATAGGACGTGTGATATTATTTGGCACGAGATATAGCG